CATGTATGTCAGTTTTGTCATTTCTAACAATTTGTTGTTCTTCTTGCGGTTCATACTTTTTAATTTTGCATATACTTATGTTTTAGTACGTTATAATTCTACATAATTATTCATCATTATTTTCCTCTTCTTCCTCCTCCTCCTCCTCTTCCTCCTCTTTTTCTTCTTCTCCTTCTTCTTTTTTTTTCTTGTACTTATTATCATTTCTATCATCAGTTTAATGTTGTTATTATTATCATCATTATTATCTTTAATAAGTTTTTTTGCTTATCTGTCTGTAGATTACCACTTTAACTCTTACATGACTGTCGGGGACCCCACTGAAAATAAGCTCACGAGCTTCCGTGGGCTATCCTGTTTAAGCTGACTTAATTTTGATATGTTATTCTTGTATATTGTTGTATGTTGGAAGCATGGCGAATAAAAAACAATCAATCAATCAATCAATCAGGAGTATATTCATCGTGGTGTAAGTCCCGTCCTATGGGAAATTTGATGATCTTAACACGCAAGGGGGACTCTCACCACGAGGAAAATATAAACAGTTTTATAGTGTTTTAGTCAGAGTCTGTTGATGTTAGTGTTAACTATAACAGCAAATATTCATTTAACACCTCTAGGTAACTTCAATATGATCAAATAATATGACTCTAAACACCAAAAAAACTGTCTGTATATTCCTCGTGGTCCGAGTCCCCCTTTAAAAAAGTAATACAAAAAGTTATACAAAAAATAATTTTCTCACGAATTGTAAAAAAAAAAGTGCTCAGCGGCTGGCCGATTCGCCGCTAAAAAATCCCTCCAAAATTGGACCCAAAAAAGAAAAAAGAAAAAAAAGAGTGCTCTTTCAATATTAAGCGAAAGAAAATCCTAACTTTTGGCTGCCTTACTAAATTGCTCAACAATATATTCCTCTGGGTTTTAGGTAGTTTTAAGCGTCAACAAAATATGAATAGAAAACGAAATTAGAAGGCGAAATTTCTCTTACGCACACTTTCCTCCTTGAAATGCATAATAAATTCGTTTTCGAGGGCTGGCAATGAAAATAGAATTAACAGTAGAAACAGACCCTAAATAAAGAAATAAACAGCTTGGTCGATTTGTTTTGAAGCATTATATTCAAAGACCCGGACAGCTTTATCTTTATTATCCATATAAATAACGTCTACAATCACTCTCAGATGGAAGATAATACCAATACGAAATGCATTAAGCAACGTCTAGACATAAAGGTCGAATCTCAACTTTATTTTTCTTATTCTTCTTTGACATTTCGAAGTGTTGCATGGGATCTTAATCCTGTTTTTTCTACATACATCAATTTCACAACTGGGTAAACAGAGGTGACTTTAATTCGTGATCTAGTTAAAACTCTCTAATCATCTCACAGGAAGATTTACACAATAAACAAAGAATTCAAATTCTGTTAAGTGTATCTTCATATCTGTATTAGTTTACTTCTTATCACAATAAAAATACATATAAAGATATAAAGAATATTTTGACCCCAACCCTGAGGTTGTATTCTTAGCTGCCACAGAGTAACACATTTGTACAGAGTATTGACATTAAAATGGTCGTACGGGTTTATCGTTTCAAAGTCTGGAGATATAAACAAAATAACCCACTTTAGTGATGCAATCACTCTCAAGATGTCATATTAAAATATTGTTTATGGTGATGAAGAAAACATAGTTGTTACTGTTGCTGAAACTTTAGTTGTCCACCATAACGAAGGTGTTGCTCATCTGGTAGCACCTTAAAATCTCCATATTGGTTAATGGTAGGTATCCACCCATTGTGGCATGAAACGTTGACAGAGGACTTGTCTGTAAGTCCTAGCCGGAACACCATATAAAAATAAACCTTAACCCAAGCTATAAATTAATAGTCTATGGAGTAATACCAAATTATCATCTACTAAATATCTTTTGACGAGAACTATCAATCAATGCAATGAAATACATAATAGAAAAGGAGGCTTCTGCCATAATTATTAATCACAGTGCATACATTTTTCCTTTCAAACTTCGAAAGAGCCTGAATTACCGAGTGCATATCCTGCTAATTTATTTTATCATTCATAAATGAACAAAATAGTGTATACAGAGTGACATTAATTACTTAAGAGAATGGATTCAAGGTTCACTTGTGACCTTGAATCTCTCAATGACAAATAAACACGTGTAATCTATCATAAGGAAAAGGAATACAAACATGGATTTAACTTATAGTTTGACTTGGTTGACTAAATGCAGGGAATCGGGGCAGGCCTCAATGTCAGTTCTGGTGATCTTGACACTCCATGGAACTTAGACTTGCAGCGCAAATTGCCATGTTTTTGAGCTATGAAACAACTTTCATTCAACTACATAGGTCCTGCCTGTATGACTTATGTGCAGATAGTGACACTACACTGCTGGGTAAGGCAACCCACCCACTATAGCCATACATCACCAGTCCTGTTGGAGCTATGTAGAGTGCAGTGGAGCCTAACTACCCAATGCATTCAACCCAATTCTTTAATCTACATAACAAATAAGTGGGTCACGTTAAGGGGAAAGGTTGAATCTCAACTTTATTTTTATTATTCTTCTTTTACATTTCGAAGCGTTGCATGTAATCTTAATCCTGTTTTTTCTACATACATCAATGCCCCCATTTAAGCATAAAAGTTCGTGGCCTAGAATTGTGTTTCTGTTGATGATAAAATTAAGGGAGCACCCTTTATAGATCAGGGAGAGTGTGAACAAAAGCACACAGTATATAGGAGCAGCGCAATTATTGAATATCAAGGGATGGATTAGAGTTTATTTCTAAAATGACATAAAAGGGCTTTTTGACTTTCATTTCATTTAAGAAATAACCTCTCTTTCTCTCTTAGAGACACTTTCTCTTGAAAGTCAAAAAAACTTGAGAGCATCCTGGGGCTCCGCCCGGAACCACCGACAGGGGCTCTGCAAGGCCCCTCAAGCTGTGTCATATTGTACGGATCCATTAGAAAGCAAAATAAACCCAATGAATAATGCGTATATGTATACATACATAAAGTATAGAGATACACTGTTGATCTTAACGTTGGAATATTATTTTTTAACCCCAATTTATGGAATTATTTATTCCTAATAGATCTAGATAATAGTATACATTCTCAGATTTTATTGAATAATTATTTGCCAGTGTTTGTTTTGCGGGACTGCTAAAGCATGTGTATGCTACTGTGCTTATCAACTAGGGGACCTACGCCCTTAAGTCATAAATGACATTAATGAGGATTAATGCCCCACAGAAGAGCACTAATATAGCACATGGACACGGTTTTGATCCTGGGGCCTCACAGTTTCGAGGCCATTGCTTTGCCACTGAACCATGGATGTACGCAGCGGGGGCTAAGGTAGGGGCAGTTCCCACAAATAAAAACAAAAACAAAGAAAATGCAATAAATTATCAATAATTCATTGCATTTTACCCCGGTCCCCAACATAGAAAATCCTCTGTACGGCCTATTAGGAATCTAGATCTATTACGAATAAATCTTTGTCAAAATAATTCCATAAATTGGGGTAAACAAAAATATTCCAATGTTATGATTAGTACTAGTTTTGATCAACAGTGTATATACAGTGCGACCCAGAAAAAACGAAACCGAGAATTATCATAACTTTTATCATAACTTAATCACAATTATAATTAATAAATGACACATGTTTGTAAAGCTTAGATCCTCCTCCTTCATTTGATGCAACTCAGATGATGCATATTTCACGCATGAGTGATTCAAAGCGATTTAAACGAAGGAAACCAAAAAGCCATTTGGCGGGCGGTATCTGAATTTCGAAGAAAAATCCCTTTCATTTGACACCTCAGTCAGGAAAAATGAGCTAGGAATAACAAAGTTCTGTTCGTTTAAAGTAGTGCTTGCATTTCCATAATTTTATTAAACGAATTCGTTTTCACTGGCTGCCTGCTATAGCAACAAACGGAATTAACAAAAGACTTAACTGCGTTTTTTTCACAATCAGCCGTAGACGAAAGACTTCATGCATGGCTTATTGTGTTTGTCTTGTTTCAACAATCTGCTCACCATGCAAAGATCTCAGTGAGAGTTTCATCTGCAATTGATCACGTACTACCTTAATTGATACAGGATCATTACCTTGTCATGAAATGATCCAATTGTTAATGCTGGCAGTTCGCCCTTGGTATGCCACTCCATATTGTACAGAGATTAAAGGTAATACAAAGTGTTGGTATGTGGTCATGAAATTGGTTCAAATGAACATAATTTTGAAGCATATGCGATCATACAATATTCAGTGATCGTTGTCGCGATTGAAATCGAGTGTAATGTTATGAAATTATAAATAATAAACTCTTTATGTTGTATAGCTCCATCTCAAGGTCAAGATATATTAATTAATCTATAAAACAATGTTTCTTGACTAAAATCGACCGATTCGCTATTCCCATTTGGAAATTATACATATTCTGAGATTTTCATGGTCACAGCTACCATTCTACGGCCGTAGGCGCTATTGGAAATTTATCAAAATTTACCGGGAGCACTGGTAAATGTTTGTATTCAATTTATCTCGAAAGCAGAAGTGCTTTAGGGGCTAAATTTTTTCGTGTTTATAAAATATTCACAGGGGCATCCAAATATATCAAAATTGTAAAGAATCACAATCCACCCAATTTTCAAAATTTCCCAAAACTTTGTATTACCTTTAAGGTAAGAGGTCGACTGGACTTTTTTGCAACCGTGATTTTTGCAAATCGACTCAACGAATGTGCTAATAATCATCTGGAGCGAAATACCCTCGTATCTATCACAAGGCTATTCAGTAATATCATTTGACCAATCCTCGACCATTAGCCTTCAAGGAGTATTCAGGTGTAACATGAGATCATGAAAGCTGCTGGTAAACATTATTTAAGATTCCAAGCCCGTTCTCAAGAATCATAAATTGTATTGCCTCTCCCAACCAGAGCCAGTTTTGGTAGACACAGAGAAGACGCAGTTCATATTATTCTACGGGAGATAATTCCAAGATGGCGCGTGGAGGAATGTGGCATGTGTTGGTGTTGGTCTACACAATCTTTCGTATTCGCATGAGTAAGTATCAGTAACTCTTAACCAATTACAAATAATACAACTACATTTACAACACGCAAACATTTAAAGCGACTGATGTCCTGCAAGACTCTGAAATCAATCATAAAATAATTGTTTCTTACGTTTTAGTTATTACACCTGGGGGGTGTTTCACAAAGATTCTAAGTCGAACTTAACTCTAAGTTGGACTTAACAATTATGGAGAGCCATTTGTAGCCTTGCAATAAATATATTCAACAGCAAAAATTCAAGTATTTGTTAGACTTTTCATAAATTCCCCATCGAGAACATGAAATCTCCCAGGATAAGAGAAAATATGAATGATTTAAAACAACTTTGTATGCCTTTTAAAATAACTTTTAAAAAATATTTGCAAAGATGCTAATGGCTTTCCAACTAAGAGATAAGTTCAACTTAGGATCTTTGTGAAACACCCCCTGGGTTGGATCAGGGGAAAGTATATACATGCCTTACCAAAGGACACTAACCCTGCGGTTGAGTCTCAAAATCGAACAATGAAACGTTTGATTGATCGCTTATGCATACTCTGCGGCGATTCGAAGGGGGCACATCATACGAAGGATTTAGATCTACTCTTTTAGAAGATAAAATCTTGAGAAAATATTTAGCGGCGAATCAGCCACCGGTGAACGGCAAATGATCGGGGGGGGGGGGTAAAAGCACATATGTGCATGATTAAAATAATAGAGAGAGAGAGAGGGAACCACCATCATTATGCAATGGTTCAGGGTTTGTGTAATGTACATTTGAAACCATTTCTTAGCGTCTCAACCCTAAAAAAAATAGCGAAACTGTTTTTGAGGAAAAGCATTATACTGAAATGCTGTTCATCATCATCATCATCACCATACTAATACTGATAAGGGCTATATACAATGTGGTATTGGCACAGTAAGATCTGGTATATTTATATAGGTATTCCAAAATGACATTCTCATAATCAATATTTTGTTCTGTATTCATTATGTATATACGCATAAAACAACTGATCTTTATGATTTCTTAACGTGACATAGCTTCTTCTCCCCCTGCGAACAAAGGTTATTTAATGAAAGGATCATGCGACAAAATTGATCATTGTGATTCAAATTGATGCAAAGATTTTGTTTGAATAAGCAATGCTTTTCACGAGAATCTTCTTTGTAAAAACGACTTTTACAAAATCTCAGCCATGCAATTCTGCCACTGTGCTGTAAGATCATTTTAAATTGAATGGAACGTCTCAACTCAGTAAGCATGGCTGAGATTTGTAAAAGTTGTTTTTACAAATAAGATTCTGGTGAATAGCAGTGCTCATTCAAACAAATATTTGCATCAATTTTAACCACAATCATTATTTGTCGCTTAATCCTTTTTTATGACCTTGTTTTCTTTTTCGTTTGCAAGGGGAGAAGAAGCTAAAGACATCACAAAGATCAGTGTTTTATGCGTATATATTATATGAACAGGGCCCGTGGAATGTTTATCAAAGTGGGGGGCTAAAGTATTTACGATCAGGTAGAGAGAGGGTAGCGAGCGAAGCGTAAATTGGTGTGGGGGCCGGTTCAGGGGGCGGAGCCCCTGGAAGCTCAGGGGTTTTGGGCATTTAATTACGGTCAGAGAAGCACACATATTTTGATGCCGCATTTATGTCACTGGCCGGTCACAATATTTTTGTTGAATGACGAACATCATGGTCTGAAGCAATATTTAATTCAAATGAGACGCTAAAGACTAACAATTTAATGTTGACCATTTATTTTCATGAGTAAATTTTATAGGTGAAAATAAAAATTATGTTAAAAATATAAAACAAGCGAAAACCGTATCATCTCTTCCTCTCACATATTATGGCAGATTTGTTTGTTAGAGCAATAAATACATGTATAAGTGAAGCAAGTGTCGCTGAAAGTTGCGTTATTGCGTCCTGGACTCACCAAATAACCAAATCTCACGCATGAATTTTGTAAAAGCAGTGAGTAATTGCCTCCCGTAGGAAGCAACAACAATTCCTAGGTTGGTATCCGGAAGTTAGAGAAGAATCATTTTCGCATCGTATATTGCTTATAATTTCAATGATTTACACATCTATCCAATCTGTCCATATAGTGTAACAGTAACGACCCATATGTGATCCAGCCGGCAGCATAAGGGGGGGGGGGCAAATCTTGAGAAAATATTTAGCGGCGAATCAGCCAGCCAGCAAACGGCGAATGTGCGGGGGAGGGTATTGGTGGGGGTGGGGCAAAGTGTAATTTTTTTTTTGGGGGGGGGGGTCGGGGGAGGGTGATCAGGGAGGGGGGGGTCGGGGGTCGGGTGGTCAGGGGGGCCGTTTTTTTTTGTAAATATTTTTTTTTTAAGGTAAAATTTACGTTACTATTCTATTTATTGTTACCGGTTTTGGAGGCTAGGGGGGGGGGGGGGCTGGGCCGGTAGAATCGGCCCGTGGATCCGCGCCTGCTTGTCCATGTTTGTCAATTGCTGTATAGCGCCACTAAACATGAATCAAAATATGGATTCTTCTTCCGAATGTCAACGAGAGGCAAATAATTTTTTTACTTTAAATGCCTACTTCCAAGGTATATTTCCAAGGTATAAGGTATAAGTTCATAAGTTCGAGAATATTTTATGAGTTCTCGATCCGACCTTTTTGGTGATTTTTCTTTAGCATCAAGGCGATCTCCATAAACACAGGGATATTATCGACAACCTGCAACAACGAAGTTTGAGGAATATTCTATAGTGGATGAACAAAAAGTTGTGAAGATTTATAGGTGTGATGGATAAAACAGCATTTGGTAAATTCAGTACAAATAAATTGCAACTGTTTTCCACTAATAAAAATTGATACATTTCCTTTTTATGGCACATGCACATTTGTGCTTTAGATGTCTCATTCGACTTAAACGTCCTTAATACGACACGTTGATCAGATAGATGTAGTCCTTCATTTAAAAACCAAAAAAGGAACATTCTAGTAAGGACGAAAACAAGAAAAAAGGAACATTCTAGTGAGGACGAAAACAAGAAAAAAGGAACATTCTAGTAAGGACGAAAACAAGAAAAAAGGAACATTCTAGTGAGGATAAAAACAAGAAAAAAGGAACATTCTAGTAAGGACGAAAACAAGAAAAAAGGAACATTCTAGTAAGGACGAAAACAAGAAAAAAGGAACATTCTAGTGAGGACGAAAACAAGAAAAAAGGAACATTCTAGTGAGGACGAAAACAAGAAAAAAGGAACATTCTAGTAAGGACGAAAACAAGAAAAAAGGAACATTCTAGTGAGGACGAAAACAAGAAAAAAGGAACATTCTAGTAAGGACGAAAATAAGAAAAAAAGGAACATTCTAGTGAGGACGAAAACAAGAAAAAAGGAACATTCTAGTGAGGATGAAAACAAGAAAAAAAGAACATTCTAGTAAGGACGAAAACAAGAAAAAAGGAACATTCTAGTGAGGACGAAAACAAGAAAAAAGGAACATTCTAGTGAGGACGAAAACAAGAAAAAAGGAACATTCTAGTGAGGATGAAAACAAGAAAAAAAGAACATTCTAGTGAGGACGAAAACAAGAAAAAAGGAACATTCTAGTGAGGATGAAAACAAGAAAAAAGGAACATTCTAGTGAGGACGAAAACAAGAAAAAAAAGAACATTCTAGTGAGGACGAAAACAAGAAAAAAAGAACATTCTAGTGAGGACGAAAACAAGAAAAAAGGAACATTCTAGTGAGGACGAAAACAAGAAAAAAAGAACATTCTAGTGAGGACGAAAACAAGAAAAAAAGAACATTCTAGTGAGGACGAAAACAAGAAAAAAGGAACATTCTAGTGAGGACGAAAACAAGAAAAAAGGAACATTCTAGTGAGGACGAAAACAAGAAAAAAAAGAACATTCTAGTGAGGACGAAAACAAGAAAAAAAGAACATTCTAGTGAGGACGAAAACAAGAAAAAAGGAACATTCTAGTGAGGACGAAAACAAGAAAAAAAGAACATTCTAGTAAGGACGAAAACAAGAAAAAAAGAACATTCTAGTGAGGACGAAAACAAGAAAAAAGGAACATTCTAGTGAGGACGAAAACAAGAAAAAAGGAACATTCTAGTGAGGACGAAAACAAGAAAAAAGGAACATTCTAGTGAGGATGAAAACAAGAAAAAAAGAACATTCTAGTGAGGACGAAAACAAGAAAAAAGGAACATTCTAGTGAGGACGAAAACAAGAAAAAAAAGAACATTCTAGTGAGGACGAAAACAAGAAAAAAAGAACATTCTAGTGAGGACGAAAACAAGAAAAAAAGAATAGGATGCCTATTGCTTGGAGAGTAACGTTGCTCATTTATCCTTTACAACTACAATCTTATTGACAACTTTTAATTTGCTTTTTGACTTTAGAATGTATTTCTAAGATATCTCCATGACATTTTACAAATGACATATTAATCTAAAATATGTCAGTGATGATTTAATCGAGAAATAGTGAGTTAAAATTCCTTGAATAGAAAGGTTTTTCTGGAAATGCAGAAGAGTCGGGTACTTGATTATTGTTCACTGAAGCTATCCACGAGCCATGAATGTATATATATATATATTATATTCCTAAAATGTCTTGCTTCTAAGTAGCCAATTTAAACAGACAGAATCCCCTGTTACAGTTTTCGTGTAAATTTCTATTCAATTATGCGTTAGAACAAGGATCATACTTTACTATATCAACAAGTTTTATGAAATTGCATGTTAATAACCCGCGAGCTAAACAACAAGTCAATAAAATGAAGACTGAGTTAGATCTATGTGATCCTTGGAGAATTAGATTTCCTGATAAAAGACGTTATACGTGGCGGCAACCAACCCCTTTTAAACAGAGTAGATTAGACTTCTTTTTGATTTCTTCAGAACTTCTTTCATTAGTGCACAATGTCGATATTCTTTCAGGTTATCGAACAGATCACTCTTTAACTCGCATGAGTCTCAGTTTGAATCAGATAAAACGAGGTCCTTGTTTTTTCGGAAATTTAATAATTCCTTGTTAAAAGACGAAGATTTTGTTTCGCAAATAAAGAAAAAGATAAAAGATACTATTCTATTTTATGCTAAAGACGAAGCAAAGTTTGACCAGAATGGTTGCATAGTGGGCGAGTGTGAATTTAGCATAAATGATCAGTTATTTTTTGAAACTTTAATGATGATTATACGAGGGGAAGCAATATCATATGCCTCCTTTGCCAAAAAAACAAAATGTGAACAGGGAAAAAGATCTAGAAAAGAAAATTGAAGAGTTAGAAAGAAAAATTGATAATATCTGACGAATTAAATGGATGGAGTTTGGAGAAAAACCGTCTAAATTCTTTTTAAATTTAGAAAAACAAAATAATACCAATAAAGAAATACGTCAGTTATCCGCTGAAAATGGTGATATTTTAGACAGACAAAGTGACATACTTAAGGAAGTGTTTAACTTTTATTCTAACCTTTATGCAGAAAAAGAAACTGATGGAATTAATCTGGAATTATTGTTAAACTACCCTGACATTCCTAAGTTGTCCTCGCAAATGTCCTCATTATTGGAAGGCCCACTTTGTGTTGACGAAATCTATTCCACTTTAAAAATCATGAAAAACAATTAATCCCCCGGACAGGATGATTTTACTGTAGAATTGTATCGTTACTTTTGGGAAGATATTAAATACTTGCTAGTAAGATCATTGAATTATGCGTATTTCACAGGGAAATTATCAAACTCACAAAAAATGGGAATAATAACTTTGATTCCAAAAGTAAACAGACCTAGACATTTGTTAAAAAATTGGCGACCGATCTCCTTATTGAATGTAGTTTATAAATTAGCATCCAGTTGCATCGCAAACAGACTCAAGGGCGTTTTGTCATTTTTGATACATGAAAATCAAACAGGATTTTTGAGTGGTCGTTTTATTGGCGAAAACATACGTTTATTATATGATACGCTACTTTATACGGAATTACATCATATAGCTGGCATGCTTCTTGTTGTTGATTTTGAAAAAACTTTTGATTCCGTATCGCATGATTTTCTGTTCAATGTCCTAGATTTTTTCGCTTCGGTCCATCTGTAAAGAAATGGATCAACTTGTTTTATGCAAATGCATCATCTTGTGTATTAGTTAACGGACACTGTACAGATAGATTTGAAATAGGACGAGGGTGTCGCCAGGGAGATCCTTTGTCTTCCTACCTCTTTTTGTTAGTCAGTTAGATACTCGGGATCCTAATACGACACTCACATTCTTTGGGCGGATTGCATATGAATGGAAAAACGCTTAAACTGTTACAATATGCAGACGATACCCTTTTGACACTCAACGGTTCAATGCAGGATTTACAATGTGCCCTTACAATACTTAATGAATTTGCAAATATGTCCAATCTCAAAGTCAACACGACTAAAACTCAAGTGATATGGATTGGGAAGAATAGAACTTTCAAAAAAGAGATTTTACACGAGTACAAACTTAATTGGATATCTGAGGGATATTTTAGGTACTTAGGCATAGACTTTTCAGTTAAATTATCAGAAATGGTTAATCACAATTATCAAGAAAAGGTTCAAGAGATAAACTGTCAGATGACGATATGGTTGAAAAGAACATTGACTCCCTTAGGAAGAGTTACCATAGTAAAATCTTTATTTATACCCAAATTAAACTACCTATTTTTATCTCTTCCTGAACCAAAATTAGAAATTATGAAGGATATCGATCGACGTTTTTTTGAATTTATATGGCATGGCAAACGTGATAAAATAAGTAGGAAACAAATGGGTCAATTGTACAATAAAGGCGGAGTTAAAGTGACTGACCTTTGTATGCATTGTAAATCACTTAAGATATCATGGATAAGAAGATTTATTTGTTCTGAAAGTTTCACTCTTCATATGTTCCAATCATTCTTACCTCCACCGTATACATCTCTTCAGTTATTCATGGGGGCTGAATATTACAAAGAATTAGCCACTACAATTCGAAACCCATTTTGGGAAGAAGTATTATCAGCCTTTTCAGACCTTACTCAATTCACTGTAAATGATATTGCATGTCAACCCCTTTGGAATAACCCTAAAATAACAGTTAATGATAACGTAATTTATTATAAGTCTTGGTGCGCTAAGGGGGTACGTTTTGTTAACGATGTTTTAAAAACGGATGGATCATTTCTCTCATACTTTGATTTTCAACATAAATACAATGTACATGTAAACTTTCTTCAATATTATGGCTTTTGTCATGCTATTCGATTTGGTTTTAATAAAAAATGTCATAACAAAGGTCATTGAACCTACATGTATCATCCCGGAAGCATTGTTATTAATAATACAAGTGGAAAAAGGTTGTGCACATATATACCGTTCTTTATTGAAGCATAATATAAAGGAATGTAAAAGTCTTACTAAGTGGAAACAGGAGTTTGACCTTGACAATATTGTATGGAGTTCGTATTATTTTCTTCCCTTTAATTCAACTGTCGATGTTAGCATGAGGTGGTTTCAGTTCAAGTTACTGAATAGAATTCTTTATATGAAAGATGCTTTGTTAAGATTTAAATTAGTTACAGATAACTTATGTACATTCTGTAATAACAGTGTAGAAACGATTATACATATATTTTGTTACTGTATTCATACAACCGAAATATGGTCTAAACTTGAGTATTGGTTGTCTCGTAATAATGTACTAATTAAGTTTAGAAATCAAAATAAGTTGTTTGGGTTTCACGGTAATAATAACAGTGCCCTCAACTGTATTATGATTATAGTCAGGAAAGAAGTTTTTGCAGCCAAATGTAAACAGTGTTTGCCAGTTTTTGAAAACATAATGTCAGCGATAAAGTGTTATTATAACATGGAAAAGTATATATGTAAAACAAATCTGAAAGAACAGAAATTTGTGAAAAAGTGGTTACTTTTTGCAAAGTGTTTCTGATTGTTTATTTCTTCTAAAATCATTTTGCCAAGTAAATCTGTGATATTTATTTAAAAAAGTGAACTTCAATTTGTAACTGATATCTATAAATATATTTTCTTATCATATTTTGAATGGCCAGGAATATTATTTTGAATTTCTGCATGTAAAAATCAATTCTTGTATACATAATAATGTGAACCATATTATTTAATAAAGGATCCCTGTGGAAGGGAAAAAAAAAAAAAAAAAAAAAAGTTTTATGAAATTGACGTGACTCCTCAAACCATTGGCTTTACATTCGTTTAACAAATTATACAATCAAAAAACGGATTTTGATTGTCGAGCCTTTTGTTTGTTACTCTTTATAATTATAAAGATACGATATTATCATGTTTTAACAAAAAAAATCAAATAGCAGGAAAACATGTAAAAGGTTCTCAGAACAAGTTTCGTACTTGATGAAAAACAATATATATAAACACTGTCTTGTTTATACGTTATTCCTTATTTCAAATAAGTATAATTTCTAGTGATTAAACAACGTGTTTTCATCAGTAAATGTGATAGACATGGAAGGCACAATTTGCTACAAAGCAATTTTTATATTCGTTGCACTTTTTGTTTATATTGGTTTTAAATAAATTAATCTTGTTATTATGCATAGATTGAGAATGGTGTGAGCTATGATCTTAATGATTTTTTTTGTTTAAATCAAACTTTTTGATAGTTTGACATATGAATTTTTGAAACTATTGTAAATATATTTTTTTATTTATTACTTGTTGTTGTTGGTAATTTGTGTTGGGTGCACAGATAGTAAGATCGAGCTAAAAAAGATACGATGACGATTGTAGAAGCAGTAGAAGTAGTAGTAATAGTAGTAGTAGTAGTAGTAGTAGTAGTAGTAGTAGAACTCTCTAAAAGAAATCGAGTGATCACGGACGTCACTCCTCTGGAGAGTGAAAATGTAGTGAAAATAGAGTGAACATTCACTTTTTTCTTCTTTGAGAGCACTCGAAAATCAATCGCATTCACTCCTAAACAAGTGATCTCTGACGCCACTCCCAAGAAAGTGAAAATAGAGCGAAAATTCCCATTTTTTTTTAGAGAGAGAGTAGTAATAGTATTCTTTTATTTATTTATTCATTAAGTCAGTTCGTGTCACTATGATGGGGGGATGTCCGACACACGTAACAAACAAAAAGCCTTCTCTTTTGCTTTTGAATTTAACGAGAAATATTCACCAATTAGCTCTAAGCATCATTAATATTTGTCCTGGATAATTTAGTCCAACATACGTCTTAGATGATTAACGAAATATTGCGTGCAACTTCTTCAAATTGCTGTTTTAAAGGTTACTGTCCGGTTACACAACCTGTCCGGACACACAACATCTGGGTATAAATGTTACCAGGTGTGGTAGAACTAACTTGCTCGATTATTTGCAAGGGTTACCTACTTCAGAAAAGAAAGAAAGACTTTAATAATGACGCTTTTTGTTAAGCTTTTTAATAATCAATGTATTCCTGACTCCCATGTAATCTTCCTTTCTTTGTATATACTTCACAATCGTTTTGCTACACAGATACTGCTCAGATATTTATTGGTGATACGAATACCCCTGGTATCCTCTACGCTTCCCTACCGGAACCACGGGATGATACCAACATCATGGACACCCTCTTCAACCTGATACCTCTTCCAGAGAATAGTGGAATAGATGGAATCGACTATGATCCAGTGAATGAAATGGTGTACTGGAATGATTTCAGTGGGAGTCAAATAAGTCGAATCCAACTTGACGGCACGAACCAAGAAGTCATTATTTCTACGAGCTGTGAGTGAATAGCAATAGGCTTACTTTGCAAGTGAAATATTTCCATTAATTTTACAATGAATTGTCATTATTTATTTACCATGATTAATCATAGTAAGGTAATAACGTGATATACTTTGCGGATATTCTCTGTCATTGTTAATTCGAAAATTAATAGCCGGCGCATACACACCACATGCAATACGATATAACGTGTTGAAAAACAGGGTGATAACATAACAAATCCCTCCCGATAAAACACAACGTCATTGGCACCTTCAAAGCTTGCCCATCACCATGAATCTTATTTATGAAGATAATTTGCAAGTGCATAATCGATCTTGTGATAAAGTAGCGATGTAAAATAATATTATTATTATCATCATTCTTATTATTATTATCATTAAATTGTACTGATCTATCGTTTGAACTCATTTCAGCCCCTCATTCTATCGCTCTCGATCTGGTGAACGGGAAGATCTACTGGACGATGTATAATGATAAGGCTATCTCACGTGCCAATCTCGACGGTAGCTCGGTAGAAGAACTCTTCAAATATACGAGTTTTGCGCAACCTACTTCAATCTTGGTGGACCCCGTCAGTGGGTAAATATTAGTTAAGTTGAGATAAAAATTTTCATTGGTTGGGGTTAATCTGGGCCCAATAACACAAACGTTGGAATAAATTGCAAAATGGAGGTGCGAAGCATATAGTGGTTCATTCACTTGACTATCAAACCATGGGTTGAGGGTTCGAATCCAATCCCGGTTTTTGACAAGACATTAATCGGATGAGGCTTCCATGAATACACAAAATTGTTATTATCATCATATTAGATGGCAATGGGTGAATACAATTATCGTTTTATAATGGACATATTGTTAACAAGGCTGACTATAAACCCATCAGAATCATTGTTTCAAATGTGTAAATAATTGCATACCTTTGTGTTACGTGGCCCAGAAGATGTAGATTAGGCTTCTACAAACCACTGCACGTTGTATGTAAGCTTCCATCCACTCCAGATCTGTAAACTATGCCAATCCTTCACTGAATAGGACCTCTGGTTATCCACATTCACCTATATCTTCTTTCTAGTGATCCTGAAGCAGCAAATAGCAGGAATTTTTGTTTTCTTGAAAAATCACTTGGCTCCAGAAAGTCCACATAAAAGGATGAAGCCTTGGCTACTATACTAATTGAAGTGGTCATAGGTGCCCAAGCTACATGTTATTAGTGTAGTTTTACATAATCTCTTTCAGTTTCTTCTAAATAATACTCTTAAGTGGTTGGGTAAATCAACTGGTACGAATGAAGCACGAGCACGCTGCAATCAACAGTATGTCCATTGATTTAGCATACCTATACTTTATAAATAACTCTACTGCGATTTCTTGAGTATCATATTAAGTACGCAGGCTTTAGCTAATCTGCCACTGAAATTCTACATGAAGTCTAGAATACAGGGGGTCTTACCAAGGAATATTAGTACCTTGACAAGGATTCGAACCAGGAATCACCTGATCCACAGTCCGCTGAAATACCCAGCAGACCACAACACCTCTAATTTCAAAATTATGATTATTTCATCTTGAAAGGTTTCTTCTCTGGTCAACACGCTTAGTCAATCAAGTTGTCAAGGCAACACTAAACGCCACTAACGAGGAGGTTGTGAGACCCATCTATGCTGAGGGGATGTTCAATGAGGAATGTGCTGATGACACCAGTAAGATACTTACTTAATTGTGTTTCGTTGTGAGTCGGGCCTTTTTTATTGTCACGTCGACATAGTGAACTGCGACATAATGACGTCATTTTGACGATCTGCGCACGCGCCTTGTTATCTCCCTGTCCACACTACCAGAATCGAGAACGCGTCAGCCCGCCCCCTCCCCCCCCCCCCCTACCACTCAGTGAACGGAGGGATACCTTGCGTTTCCGGTAAAGGGGTACTTTTCATACCAAAGTCCGACTCGTAGTACACAAAAATCTGGCACGTATTGACTTTACACACCGGACTTACAGTGAGGGCTGTTAGGGCTAAATAGGGGTTGTTTGGTGCAGATTCTTCTAAACGGATCATGATGTTCTTTCATCGATTTGAGGTCTCCTTGGGGCTGCCATAAAAATGACCGCCATCTGATAGTTACAGGTCAATAGTAATTTCAAAAGGACAAGAGCTAAAATGATAACAGTTTATGTATTTATGGAGCTCTCGGGATCAGAGAATCTGGATATCATTGTCTTTTACCAATTTGAGGTCTACTTGGGACTGCCATGCTGGTCATATTGGTCAAATCTAAAATGGCTGCCACCTTTGAGTAAAAGGTCAAGTGTAGTTCCAAAAGGAAAAGGGCTAAGTTTACTTAGTAAGGGGGTTTTCGGGGTCAGAGAATTTGGTTATGATGTTGCTTGTATCAATTACAGGTCTCCAGTGGGGCTGTCATGCTGGCCATATTGGCCAAATAAAAAATGGCCGCCATCCGAGTTAAAGGTCAAGCGTAGTTCCAAAAGGAGAAAGACTAGTATGATAAAAGTTGATAAATTCACGGGGTTTCCGGGGTCAGATAATCTGATTATGATGTTCTTTTATCAATTTTATGTCACCATCCTGTCCTAAGCTACAATGAAGTCCATTTCCTGGTTGAAGAAGATGAGGGAAGATGCGCCAAATTCACACTTGAGTGGGTATAAATCTTGGCCTGCGCCCATATGTTTCATCAATATGCAAACTTTCCTCTGTGAAATACATTATAAATTCGTTTTTCGAGGGTTGGCAATGAAAATAAATAAACAGTAGAAACAGACCTTGGATAAAGAAATAAACAGCTCGTTCAATATGTTTTGAAGCATTATATTCAAAGACCCGGACAGCTTATATCTTTATCATCCATATAAATAACGTCTATAATCACTCTCAGATGGGGGATAATACCAATACGAAATGCATTAAGCAACGTCTAGACATAAAGGTCGAATCTCGACTTTATTTTTCTCATTCTTCTTTACATTTCGAAGCGTTGCATGGGATCTTAATCCTGTTTTGTCTACATACATCAATGCCCCCATTTAAGCATACTTGGAATCTGGTCACGCTTCGAAAAGTTCGTGGCTTAGCATTTGGCTTCTGTTGATGATCAAATAAAGAAAGCACCCTTTATAGATCAGGGACAGTGTGAAAAATAGCACACAGTAGAAGCCGTGCAATTTGAATATCAAGGGATGGGTTAGAGTTTGTTTCCAAAAATTAAAATGAAAGGGCTATTTTACTTTCAAGAGACCTTTCATTTCATTTAAGAAATAACCTCTCTTTATATCTTAGAGACACTTTCTCTTGAGAGTCAAATAATCTCGAGAACATCCAGGGCCTCCGCCCGGAACCCCTGGCAGGGGCTCTGCCAGGCCCCCTAAAGCTGTGCCATATTGTACGGATCTATTGGAAAGCAAAATGAGCCCAATAAATATTTTGTATATAATATGTATACATACATGTATATATAGATATACATATAGTTCTCCTATGCAAACTTTCCTCTGTGAAATGCATAATAAATTCGTCTTCGAGGGTTGGCAATGAAAATAGATAAACAGTAGAAACAGACCATGAATACAAAAATAAACAGCTTGGTTATTTGTTTTGAAGCATACTCTTCAAAAACCCGGACAGCTTAAACTGTATTATCCTCAAAAACAATCGCTCTTACATTGTTATGTAATTAGTCATGTTTGGCCCCATTTAAAACTCAATGAGCTATTACATTAAATTAATCATTAAGAATCAATACAAATAATGATTGAATAACAAAAAAGTATTTTGATATTTGCACTAACCTAGACAATTTTGATTGAATTTTGAAACTTTGAAACGCTACTATTACGACTACTTATATTATCGCTTATTTAGGAGCGATAAAAACAAAAGTACCATAGCTCTTACAAAATCGCAGAATTCGAAGAGAAACCTAAAATGTGTACGTTATAGATTAACATACCATTACAATAAATTTCGGCGATTGCACTCTCTTTTTAAGATATTGGCACACAAAATGATGGACTTAGCTCATGCTGCAATCATAATTTATAAACCTTTAGTTCAGTCAGGAATCACATGACGTGTACAAGAGTGTTCGACAGCCCCCCCCCCCCCCCACCCCCCCCCCCCCACTGGCAATAATAATAATAATAATAATAATAATGATAATAAATATATATATATTTTTTAATTGCTTATTCACCGGCTGGCTGAGTCGCCGCTAAATATTTTCTCACGAATTAGGACCCCCCCCCCCCTCTTGCCGCCAGCTGGATCCGCTACTGCGTAAGTCCCCTCTATGTGAAATTTGATGATCTTAACACGCAAGGGGGACTCGCACCACGAAGAATATATAAACAGTTTTATAGTGTTTAGGCCTACTAGATAAATTGGCTTGACTAAATAAATCAGTAATATCATTAAAAACGAAATTTAATGAAAGTTATATTTCGTCTTCAATAATCGTTAAAGGCAATGTATAATTAATAAATATAATATTCATTTATTCAGCCTATCTAATGCTTGACTAAATAAAGTTTAATTATTGTTTGCTTTATTTTAAATAGTGAAGGACTTTAATAGGCCTACTAGATAAATTTGCTTGACTAAATAAAGTAATAATCCATTAAACGCTTGCTTTGGTGGGTACAATTTTGGAAGTTAGGATATGTTTTTCAGAGTAAAAAGTGTCCGTGGATCCGAGTCCCTGGGAACTTGGATCACGATAATGCCGATAATACTTTACCGATGACCAGATTCCAGGTAAAGTTTACTATAAAGAACCACTTCCGACTTTCAGAAATGATTTTCGATGACTGACGTGTCAGATGTGATCATTCACAAAGGAAAGGCCAGCACACACAAAAAAAATGTGACCTTTGTAAAAGTTCGTTCCCGATTTTGGCGCATGCGCAGTGTGCAATTACGAACTCGCTTATTAATAAAAGAACATCATAATCAGATTATCCGACCCCGGAAACCCCATGAATTCATCAACTTTTATCATACTGGTCCTTTTCCTTCTGAAACTACGCTTGACCTGTAACTCAGATGGCGGCTATTTTGGATTTGACCAATATGGCATATCCAGAGGGCGCCCTTCTTGGCGTCCGGCAGAAATCGTAATAGTATAGTATTAATGACTGCTTTGAGAGAAATAGTTGTTTTTATACGCTCAAGGGAAGGTTAGAATTGTGCTACTGCCCGAGGCGTGCCAAAGGCAATAGCCCAATTGTTACCTTCCCGAGAGCGTATAAAAACAACTATTTCTCGAATATTAAAACAGTCATTAATACTTTTATATCCGAAAAAATTATGACACCACCTTGGCCTTTCTCTAGTTTATCTGCACGGTTGTTTTTATGAGTGTTTCTCTGAGAGTAGACTAGATCTAGATTCTAGTCTAAGCAAGATATTTTTACAATTTTGGGGGTGGGCTGGCCCTGTGGGGAATATGGAGAAAAACCTGCGCTTTCATATGACACCTCACGTATTGAGTATCACCTTTAGGATCACGGGCAATATTAGTTTGAATCTCTGCAGGTAATTAAAACATCGACCAATCTAGCATGAGTGCGCAATGGCCAATGGAAATGCATAGGGATGTGTGTAATCTCTACGGGAAGGATCTACATCTGTCCGTGACGTACAATCACCAGCATCTGGTTGTCGCGTACTAGAATCTAGATCTAGGCCTACTGAAAAAAAATATGGAAGATTTCACGTACCCTTTTTGGTGTTCTTGCTCTCAGCATGTCTCGCATTTGATCCTCATCCAGAAGTTGAAATCTTGGGAGAGTGTCTTCAGCCATTTTTGCCTTGCTTGAATCGAGAGACTGCCGTACTAAAAATGCCGACCAATTCTTCGCACACGTACGGTATCCGCGATCCCTCAAACCATTCTTTAATATGTAAAACTATGGGTATTTCACCAAGACTGAACTATTCCCTGTAACCATGGTAACTGGAATTTTGCCGGGATTTTAGAACTATTTTTTTGAACTATTACATGGGTTTGGAATTTTACCGGGAATTTTACAGGAATAGTTAAAGTTTATGAATGCAATTTCGACCAATCAGGTGGCTGGATTTCTTAAGTGAGGTATATAATATGGTATAATATACATCTAGGCCAAATTTGGTGCTTTTAGAAGAATCTGCACCAAAATATCCCTAACAGCCCCCACTATTAGGGGTGTTTTCAAAAGGAGGGCGCATGCATATGCGTATCCTAAATAAAACTGAGTGGAGGGGGGCGGGCGTGTCCACCTCTGTTTTAACGATCAGATCAAACTAGAACGCCGTTCTGTATAGTACGTACCTAACTATCTGTGCCAGTAGAAGTTAGTTGTGCCGGTTCGTGTTCTGACCACGTTTAAAGTGGCACGGGCGGGGGTAATGGATGTGACGAATGTGTCACATCATCTTGTTCACTAGTGCGGCGAGTGGGCGCTGACTGAAATCGAAACGTTTTCAAATGGAACCGACCGAGTTGTATCCTGCTGGTCGCCGCTGAAATTTAGACATCACCCAGAGATTTTTGGAAAAATTGAGCAGGCTGTAAAGCCCAAGCGATGCCTAAGCGGTGCTCTGTCGATTTCCCGTCGATCGCCGGTCGATTTTAGGTAAAAACTGGGCGAAATCGGGGAGCTTCTCCAGTGACCGACTGATGACCCACCGATTCCCGAGCGGTCTCCCACCGGCCACCGGCTGATCTTAAAAAAATTGCCCGTCGGCCGGCCGGTGATCGGCGGGGCACCAAAATACACTCGGTGACCAGGTCGTCGTCGCCCGGGCAATGACCTAATCGAGCGTTCGCCGTCTAGCGATATAAGTCAAAAATCGAAGCTGCGATGTCAAAGGCTGCCGGCCGATTTTGAACTCGCCGCCCAGTGACCGACCGATTTCTTGGCGACGACCGGGCAGTAACTGGGCGACGATCGGTCAGCAGCCCTTGACCTACCGGCTTTGATTTTTGACCTAAATCGCTCGATGGCGAACGCTCGATTTGTTCGGGAGGCGACCATCCGGCCACCGAGCATATTTTGGGCGGCGAGTGAAAAGTGAGCAGGCGCCGCCGAATTTTAACTCCGCGCTAAAATTTCAGCAGCGACCGAGCGATGCCCAAAAATCAAGTGGTTCCCGGGCGCGTCATTTTTCTGCGGCACAGATTGGGGCTTTTTTTTTTTATTTTAGAGGTCTTGATTTAACTCTAACCCTAACCCTATATTTTTCCTTAGGCTCAACACGCACCTAACTCCAATCTGTGCCGCAGAAGAAAAAAAATAACGCTTACCGGGCGGCCGCTGATCGGTGCCCGGGCGAAATTGGCTAAAAACTCGCCGCCCGGCCGCCGAGCAGGCTACTTTTGGGGGTTGTGACCATAGCTTAACTGGGTGAACACGCGCTCTGGACGTAGACGGCGTTCTCGTCGACACAATCGAAAAGGCCTTATTTGCTATGGTAGGACTGTGTCTTTGACTCGCCAACCTAAGAGTCACCGTGTCCAAAAATTAATGTAAAGTTAACGGTTTAAATGTTGTATTTTACTTTTTGGCACGCTAACGGGTTGCCTTAATAAAGGAAATGATTAATGCAGAGAAGAAAAAAAATAATGCAAATATGATTACACCTCATGTCTGCAACGAGCATTAAGTTATTTGACAATCAAAGATCCCTTCCGTGGATTCCATAACATAAAGCTTAGCAATGGATTGTGCTATTGATTTTTGCGATTGATTGCATTGATCACTATGTGCAATCAATCTTAAAACTCAATCGTACACTTACTCAGGTTTTATACTGGGACACTGATCATCGAGCACCAGATATATAAATCTAGTGACGACACCTTAAGTTTGTCGTCACTTCCATATTTTGCAACCATTATGAAAGATAAAACATTACACATTTGAAATTGGAGTGTACCCAATATTGGATGATATTTTACCTCTCAAATATGAATAATCCCTTTATTCCAAATATATTGGGTACACTTTTATAGATGAGCATGACTATTATTTACTAAGAATCATTTACTAAGTCTATGGCATATATCTATGATATATATGTATATTCATTTTATTTTGAAGGGGAGGGGTAGTCAGTTTTGAGGCTTTTATATCGGTCAAAATTGCCAGAAAGAACCGTTGAATAGAAGAAAGGGTAATGGCCTTATTCACAAATTGTGTGTAGCGTGCATTACTCATCTAATATTTGTTCTCACTATTTCTTATACCAGCCCGCTTGTTTTACTACACGGAAAAGACTAAATTAGGCGTCACGAATCTAGACGGGAGTGGCAATAGAATCATCAAAGTATTCTCCGAAAAAACAATGGGTAGTTCCCTCAGCAAGTACGGCAGCAAGCTGTTCTGGTCAGCTCAGTCACGTTCGCCGAGTTTTACCCTCACGGGCTTGATCAACGAGTATGATATGAAGTCATCAACTCTTACGATTCACAACAGTACGGTGACATTGTTAAACGGCGACGAGCTTGTCATCAGCCCTCTGACCACTCGGATCATATCACACAGTAAGACGCCTGTGTTTCAGGCCGCGTCAGGGCCCCGTTTCACAAAACTTGATATCAATAACAAATCACAAGCTACTGCTATAAGCTACTGAAATCATGGCATGTGACTGGTTGAGAGCAAATTTGTCATAGAAATTTAGCATTTGTTATAGATAAACAGTGTTATGAAACGGGCCCCAGATCTCTGGATAAAAACATGAATATACAAATGACACTATTTTTGAGAGCTATTAACCTCTGGTGTTTTAGAATATAACTTTGCTATTTCGTTTTTTCTCCACTGTATCTGCCTGTCTATATTATTTTAAGAAACACAAAACAGATAACATGATACAACAAATTCTCAAGTGAGTCTGTTTAATGAGAACTCATCTGAGCATACGCAACTCTTTGCCCAGCCAGGTGGCATTATTATTTATTTATTCATTATTTTTTCAACAGGGTAGTTTCATTCAGTTCCACTGGAAGCCAGTGGACCTGCTTTCCAAGAAAGCACTGCTTCTGTGTGCAATAACAGTGTAAAAACATAAAATCAATAATGCAATAATTAACAATTGCACATACATGTGAAATATCAAATTAATCATATATTTTATATCATATATCTATTATTAATTATTCGAAAAAATAAAACTATATTGAATTCTTACACTAAACTAGACCACGCCTAAAACAAAAGCAAAATACATAACATAGAAATAAATAATTATAGCAGGAATAGAGTGCAGTAGGCCTATTGTACTTTTTAAAGTTTACCAAAATATTACAGAGTTATATAATCAGTTGTTTCTAAAATATATGAAAAAATAGCCGTAGCGTAATTTAGCTTTAAATTTGCATCCATTGACTTTGCATCAGTAAGGGTTAGTTTTAGGGTTACTTAGCGCGAAGACCGCGGTTTACCTGGGGGTGTTTCACAAAGACTAACATTAACTTATTCACCTGGTTTCTCTCACCATAATGATCTTTTGATTACAATTTTGTCCTTCACTAAAGAATTACTAAATAAATTAAATTCTGTTAAATTTGTGATCATGATTTGTACGTCTCTTGAGAGACTGATACTACTGTAGTCAATGATGAGATCAAACAGTGGCATGAATGGCCTGCCATAGTGAATTTCAACTTAAAATCGATTTTATTCTTTGTGAAACACCCCTGGTATTACTAAAAATATAAAAGCTGGAAAGTTCTTTGTTTAAATAGTGAAATCGGATAAATATTATACAGGATATCCTTGAAAAAGAAAAGTAAAAGTTAAATGGTAAATTAATCAATAATTCAAAATTACTTTTTTATTACTGTAAACCTAAATTAAAAACCTTAATTTTGTCTTCTTTCATACAACACCAAAATATGATCAATAAATCACGCATGACCGATTTCAGACACCCAAAGAGGCGATGTTGGAAATCAAATTGACCCAAAAAAGGCAAATGGCTGTTTCATTTACTTAATTAAGTCTTTTGAAATAATTAATTGGGACGATAATTTCTGTTTGATACACGTCATTCAAAAGCTCTATTCTATTATTTCGTATGATACGATGATTTTAATTTGAAAGATCATGCATAACTTAATAGCCACAATTTGTTATTGGAAATGCACATTGACATTTGTTTAGCAGCCTCTGTCACTTCTTACAAGAAAATGTCAATGTGCCTATAATCAGTTGCAAACTAGGATACCTGCTTATAAGTCTTGTGTGGACCTTCCATCATGATAATGGTCTCGTATGTGCTTGAAAGAAATGATGGTATTTTAAGCAATTATTAATTCAAAAATCGTTCCATATGTTTTCAAAACCAAAATAAACCAAACGAATCAGCCATCCACTTATTTAGGACAATTTGGTTTCTTAAACTGTCACTTCATGCCGTTTACAATTAATAATGCGTGATTTACTGTTGAGGGTTTTGACGGTATATGATTACTAGAAAAGTAAACTTACCAATCACATACACATTTAACTAAATATCATTTGGAATTATAGAATAATTCACGCGTAAACTTGTTTTTTTTTTAGGTATTATTTAATTAGATTCGACGATTGATATTAAAGCCATGTATTTTATTTAACAGCTCCATATAATGAACCTGTTACCATCGAGGGTTGCCCTGACAACATCGTCGTCAACATCGACGAGAACGCTTCGAATGCGTCATCGATCTCATGGACCGAGCCCGGACTCAACAGCTGGTCCAGCTGTCCCACAATGGTCTTTCAGGGAACAGGAACTAATGGAGGAGATTTCTCTTTGGGCATAACCGAGCTGTCCTATCGGGCCAGTGATGCGGCAGGAAATACAGATGATTGCCAATTTTCGGTGACAGTGCGCAGGTCTAGTGGTCAGTTATCTTTCCCATACTATTATCATTATTATTATTATCATCATTATTATCATCACTATGTTTCATTTTTGTTATTATTGAATTTTTAAGATTTTGATTATCATAATTATGATCATTAATTATCATGATTGATGCATATTATAATTATGATAAATATCATTTTTATTATTGGCGTTACCATTGTTATTTTTGTCATCATTATTATAATTAGAAGTATCATTGTTGTTGTCGTTGTTGTGGTTCTTCTTAAGATTATTTGATTATTTTATCATAATGATTAGCTGCTTGATTGAACGAGGTGACCCCCCCCCCCCCCAACAAGATTGTCATGAAAAAACAGTATTAGGCTATTCTTAAGGTGTGCAACAATCGATCAATTCAGGAAATGTGTTTGCAAAATAGAATTATTATAACTGTTGGTTGAATGCCCGTCCAAAACCAGCATTGTCCTGACGCACTATTGAAGTCATTCAAGTATCGGCTAAGTAAAGCAGTAGTCCTGACTATGTGGTGCAAAATTATATACTTTCCTTCTAAATTAGTATTATTAGTAATTATATATTTATTTGTTATTATTACTATTTTATCATCATTATATCATTATTTAGTTTTGTTTATACAAGGCAATATTTTTTGATATTAATTATTTATATTATATCATCAATATAGTGCATTTTTGCACTGGCGTAATGCGAAATTTATAGTTTTCTTATACGTGGGAGAATTAGTACCCCTTCAGTGGTGACTGACTCACTCCCCTAATTTTATTTTGCTCATTGCGCCATTGCATTGTTGTTTTTAAAAAGAACGAACTTTCGCACCTCGCTCGAATAATTAAGTCCTCTCTTTAATTTTTTTCTTATGATGTTTGTTTTGTCTCAGCAGATGAAACATTGCCCCCGACTACGGGACAGCCGACTACGGGACAGCCGACTACGGGACAGCCTTCGGGTAGCACTGCGCTCGTCACCTCATGTTCTTCCGTTCTTCTAGTCCTTTGCATCACCCTCTTCCTCATCGTCTTCAAATAGGTCATTGATCGTCCTCACATCTTCGCCCTCTTCATTTAAGCTGGTTGGTCGTTTAATACCTGTGCAGAGCCACGGCGAGAAAATGCAGAAAACAAAGAGTGGTGCTGTGCTCTTGCTCAATTGTCTATGTCGTTGAATAATAAAGATATGAATAGGGCTAGGTTTGTAAGAAGGTAAGGTAAAGTTTCTAATAGGTTAGGTTTAGTTTTCTAGGTAGTGTTAATTTTTGGAATTCGGTGATCCCGGAGGATTTTTTTTTACAGGGAAAATTATCGTAGAATCGAATAAAAAATGGCGATGTGCCCATCAGTGACGTAGTTCTTATCTTTCACTATTGTACTGCGGTTTGAGTGTAAAGGATAGGTTGAGGAGTTTCCGATATCGAAGTTGTTTATGCGTCTGGAAATCATTGTTATTTAAGTAAAATATGTGGTGGTATATATATATATATATAACTTTGTATATGGATTACGTTAGTAGAGAATTCCATGTTTGTAATTTAGTCGGAATGTTCTGATACTCCTATATAGTACGAATGAATTCATATGAAAATCACATAAAAATTACAATACATGCATTTATAATACTCTTATATATCAGATATAAAGGCTACTTTACCAGGTAAAGTTTAGGCTCTGCAATCCAATATTTCATTATCTTTTCATGAGCTTGTTAACAGAATTTGGAATGGTTTGAAAACAAAGCACCTTGTTGCTTATAAACTATCTATACACGCAAATTTATTTGGAAAGCTATATGAGGATTTTTGCTCTTATTTTTTATCGTATCAAATCAGTCAAATCTGTCCAACGACGTACGGTTCCGCTGGACGACTTGTGAACAAGATAATAAACTCTTTGATTAACGAGCAAGAAACTTTACCTGGTACATTCTTCCTCTAGTTATCGTTATAAACCAGCGCATGGACTTGGTATCGGATGTCATTTATATACCTGGTGGGGATGAGTGTGTGTATAAATCGCAATTAACCCTATCACGAAGAGGCATTCCTTTTTCATTCTCCTTATAATATATGGCCTCTTTTCGCTCTTCTATGCGCTTCTGCCCTCTCTCGTTCTATATCTCTTTACTTCTCCGTTCCCCCCACCCTTTCTACTTCATTTTGCATAAACGTGTACCTCTCACTTCGCAGATTGCTGTGCCATGACTATCCACTCATTTATTTAGAGTGAATTAGAGTGCTGTATCTGTGTCATGTCGTCAAGATATTATTGGCTTACATATTGGTGTAAATAAAAATAAAAATCTCAAGTAGAAATGCACTGTATACCACTTTTATTAAGATCTTGTTTGTAATATGGATTTGTTTTGTTGGTTCTATTAAGTGCATGTCTGTGATATTAATTAAACTTCTAAATATACATGCTAGGAAGCAGTGTTGTTAAATGCATTATTCACTTAGAAATTGTTCTTTTTCATGAAAGTATAAATAAAGGAAAATGCGATTAAAATTTACTATGTATTATGTCAAAAAAAATGTTTTTTTATTTAGGAAATGAAATGTATTTCTTTGATGTCGTGTAATCCTTTAATGTAAGAATTCCTTCAACATAGCCAATACATCTTCGAAAATAACATTATTCTCTGTAGAAATTATATGTATTACAACAAATAAATAAATACAAGATGAAAAAAAAATACAATGTTTATGATTGATATACATATTTACATTCATTATCTGCATCACTATTATTAGACTATTCCTTGTTTATTTAGTAATGAAACTGGAACCAAGACCGAGATATTATCCATAGCCGGGTTGGCCGGCATTCACGATAGATGAAGTGAAAATTTTATCCGTGATGGGACAAAAACATAATATTTCATTGACAAAGAGTTCTTGTCGAGTAATGATCGCATTGATTAAAATGAAATATGACTTTATTGGGAATTGGTTGCTAAGGTAACGCATAGGCATGACAGGAAATGGTGTATAATGATTACTTCCTGGAATCACTGACCAGAACATTAAAGGTACTATGTCTCTTTTGCAGGCCCCAATAATGAAAAAGTTAAATTCCAACTGCATTTGAAAGATAATACTAATTTAGAACTTCCCTAAAAAGGGTGGGGCTTGAAAATGTCTTCAAATGGGAAACTAACGACTATTAGTTGTCAAATCGACTTTAGGGCTAAAGAGCCCAATAGTCTCGATTTTCAGACAATTGTACCGAATGGTCATACGTTTTATGCTGCGCAAAGATTCAATCAGTTTAATCTTCGCCATTACAGGAAATGGGTTATTGATGTAGACAAATGCTCATGTACCCTTGACAACTCTTTTCATGTATGTTATTACCAAAGAAGAAAGTCACTCAAAAGTGTCTGACAGTGAATTCTAGCAAGTAAACAGGTTTCATTGCATAATTTAAATATGAGGACACTGCTAACGTTTAAATTTCACAGATAGGACATACATGACATATTCATAATTCCTGCAAATTTCTACTTAATTTGAGGTTGGCTGCAAAAGGGACATAGTACCTTTAACTAGGCTTTAATACTGAAGATAAGATGCACGGCACACAGAGATGGGTATGGGTACACGCAAATGTACCATGAATGTAAGCCGTACACGCTTCAACTATTTTTTATCATATTTCGAAAATCGGGCATTTGAGGAATTATCCTTTGCCGGGAACCTTCTATGACATGCGTACTCATATCATTTACCGTAAACACAATGTAACAGATTATTGCACCTTTATAAAACAATCAACCCTTTCCTTATTGTATTTTTATATTAACGAAAAGAGTCGTTATTACCACACATGCAGTTAATATAACATTTTATATAAATCTTGATTATGCTAATGAAAGCAAAACAAAATAAACCAGAATCTTGGAAGGCCCTGAAACAAAAGTAGTTTTAATGATAAAAACAGATGATAGTTGGCCAAGTGCTGAAGTCATCAGTCTACTATATATTCAATTAATTGTTTATTATTTTGGTAGTTTGTAGTTTGCAAATTTTGGAGAACAAGGATTTGGTACATTTCGTAAAAGATTAAACTGAAAGATACGTACATTCTGGGTCCTATAGAAGCATTTGCTAATAAACTGAATTACTAACAATTATAAATCTCGTTTTCTATCATCACAGTATTGTCCTCATCAGCATCCGCATTAATGTCATATGCTTCTAGTGGCGCATGCATTCCGACGCCATCGCTCGTCACGTGATTAGCTTTTTTCATATTTGACACCGCATACAGCGCCCCCACATCGGCCGCGTTCATGGCAGTTTGTTCGTATGGCAAGGCGTAAAGCAAAGAAAGGTCAGCTGTTTGGTCCGGCGATGCATCGGTTCGAAACTTGTTTGAGGAGCTGTTAGCTGAAAGGTCTGAAATTGCATACAGAGCTGCAGGATCTGGTATTGGAGCGTCTTTGTGGGAATGGTATTCATTGTTCTTCTTATCTTCGACATCCATGGATGCCATTTGTTGTACAGAAGCAGGCGCGTCCCTTTTCAACTTTCTATCGGGAAACCAGATAAAATAAAGAATGTTTAACAGGTCGAACATGAACTTATCTGCTTTGATATGATCTTGTACACAATATTCAACATGACCCCTCCTATCATGTCTATAAAAATGGAGAAAAACAAGCAAGAACAACGTGATAAGCACTTGTATATGTCCTCAGAGTATATGGTCTAGAAAAGTATCAGAGGACATTTGTTTATTTGTACTTGTATGCACGTGGGTGTGTGTGTGTGCGCGCGCGTGTGTGTGTGTGTGTCTAAATAACTTATTTAGTATATTTTTCTTGAGTTGAGAGTGTTAGCAGACATCCACTGAGTGAGTAGTGTGTGTGTGGGGGGTGGGTGGGTGAGTATGTGTGTGGGTGGGTGAGTATGTTTGTGTGATGGAGGGTGAGTATGTTTGTGTGATGGAGGGGGCAGTGAGGGGGCAGGGAGGGGGCAGGATTGTTCCAGTAAAATTACCTCCAGATTTGTTTAAGTTTTTTTTTGTAATATATAAGTGAATAACATTTACAATTGACATATTATGTTTAGGTACCTATAATACTTTGTTGCTAAGTTATTATACTGCAAATAAGTTTGTGTTTAATTATGTTTATGTAAAAGCATCAATATTGAACACGTTTATTTTATTCAATTGTATGTTATGGTTTGTATTACTCATTTGGAGAAATAAAACAAAATTGTTAAACAAAAAAAAACAAAAAAAAAGTGTGTGTGTGTGTGTGCGCGCGTACATAATATAACCACACTATTGAAAAATAAAATCTCATACCACGAAAGATTTCACCCCTCCCCATGGTCATGTGACTTCCCTGTTGGTTAAAACATATTTCTTCGATTTTTCTTTGGACAATGTATTCATTTGCAACTTATTTAGACAATTATCTCTTCGCCTCAAACCATACCTCCGTTTGTACTTGACGAAAACGACGATGATTACGATGATAGTTATTAACAGAAATGATCCTCCCACACCGGCACCTGCGTATAATAAAATGGTTAACAATGATTGAATAGTTATTTTATCAACTTCTAATTGTACAACAAGTACATCATAATATAATATGCCCAAAAGAAGTGAATTTAGATGTAAATAATAAATTGAACCAAACATGCTAAAATTTCGATTTCATTTAGTCTGTCTTCATTTTCTGGCATCTGTTTTTTATTTAGATGACTAATTATGGCATTTATGTTCACATATTAAAGCGTTATGCTCTCTATTTTGAAGATCAAGAACACATGAAGTAATCAGTGTAACTCTTCTCCTCAGCGAAAAGAGCACAAAAGAAAACCCTTTTGTCCACCGCTGCTCATCTCATTTCTTCTTGAAGTAATAATTGAGACAGAAGGCTTCATACCACAGTTATTCGGATTATCGAATAATAGTAATACAGTGAAACCTGTCTATACAGACAAGAAAAGTGGTCTCTGCAGGCAGGTGGTCTTTATGTACAGGTTCCTTTAGTACATGTTTCAATGAAATATCATTTTTCAAGTAAAAACAAAAAATGTTGTCTCTGTAGGCAGGTGGTTTTTGTATAGACAGGTGGTCACTAGAGCAGGTTTTTTGACTGTACAAATAATAATAAAAACAAAAATAATAATGAGAAGAAGAATAATTAAAATGATAATCACAATAATAACAATAACTCTCAAGGGAGTTTTACAACTTGTGTTTATGTTTCAACCAAACAAATACAGTTAATGTAGCTTAAAACTGAACGTACCCAATCATTAAATTCTATACATATTACAAGCAGAAGCATAATGACTCGAAAATTCAGAATATTTCATTTTGATCATACTAGCATCTTGCAAAAAGGACATTAGTGACGGGCTGAGATTTGAGCCCTCAACCCTTGGATTGAATTGAGAGTCAAGTGAATGAGCCACCACACCACAACACCTACACGATAAAGTCTTTAATTTATGAGAACATGTTTTTGTCTGTTTATAATATACTCAGACGAGAGAGTGTGCGTGTGTGTGTGCGTGTGTGTGTGCGTAATATGTGTGAGGTAACGCTGCATCGGTGTTGGTCCTGTTCTACTCCATGACTCAAAATAAGCATGATTTTATTTTTCGTCGTGTAGGACAGAGATGAAACGAAAGAAAAACAAACTTTGTGAAATATTACCCAGCTTTATAGATGTCGTTGTTGTCAAAGTTGTGTCGGTGTCTTCCAGACCCGTTGTCATCTCAGGACGCGTTGTGAGTGTCGAATAGGTTGTTAGCGATGTTGTATCTGTTGTTTGTGTGTCTGACGGGGTTATAACCACAGAAACTGAGAAGGGAAATCAAGAGAAAGTGCAATTTTTTAAATTTAGCCATTTCTTCTTTTAGGTTTTATTTGTTTTAACTGACAGCACAATTTCAAATGAGGAAGCATCTCCAAAGATGAAACTATTTTCACATGCTACATATAACTTTGTAATTCATATCATATTTTGCACATGAGGATTAATAAAATCTTACAAAGTCTTAATGTTTCAATACTCGTAGAAAGCCGAATTTTGCTTTGTGACTGTACACCATCTCCACGTGTCACAATGCATTGAGCATGGGGTAGTTATACCAAGATATTAAATTCAATTCGCATGTTTCCAGTGAAAATTAATATATACATGTGTTCAAATAGAGATTGAAACCTTTGTCTTACACAAAGTAATCCTTCTGTTAACTGATGTATATGGTGCAGTACCAACGTACACGTGTGGCAAAGGATATTTTAAAACACGACCGCAACTAATTCCTAAAAATCTACTTAAGGGCGATTTCAATACCCTATTGTTTGTCCCATTGAAATCATGTTCGAATTGCGCATGACTTTATTGTCAAGTTCGCATATTTCAATATGTGACAAACAAGGCTATTTTTATTGCCTTATGTTGGTTTTTCGAGAGCAGTGCTATCGCGTAGTAAATAGTCTCGATTGTGCATGAAAAACTTACGGTTGAAAATAGCGATTTTACCATTCCCACCACATGAGCTGTATGCATCTCCTGTACATGGTAACTGGCATCTTTCATCATCTACCATCCCTTGCTTCCCATAGTTTGCACTTGCTTCACCACAGTCGCATATATTACCACCCTTTACTCCGGCGTACACATAATTCACGACAGTCGTACGATTGCAGTACTTGATACACGATTCAATGGTCAGTTCATCAGATTTGAGCTGGTTGCCTGGCAGGCTCAGATTGTTGGGAAGGTCGTTGAAGCATCCGAGATATCGTTTATCTGAAGAAAAATCACATCGTTGTTTTTTGTGGTTAAACAAAAATTTAAACAGGCAACAGTATCGACTTGAAAAGTAACACACATGCTTTTTTACCCTTTATTGCCACAATTTTCTTTAAAAAATCAGCTTCACAATATGAATAATCGGGAAAAAATTAAAGAAATTCGTCTGCTCATGTATAAGCCTTTTAAGACAAACTTGCTAGCCAACGCACCCTCTCCCCCTCCTATTAGATCGCACGAAAGTAAAGAAAAAATAAAGAAAATATAAGGGTTAATTCAGAATTGTATTGACGTCACACTATATCCTACTGTGACAAATCATTATCAATTCAACCTTCTAATTTCATCTGTTGATATTTCGCATTCGCTATTTCTGTTTCATTCATGAATTTGAATTCATTTTTATCGTCTTCATGAATGAAAGAACAAATCAAATCTCGTGAATTGATGTATGTGCTGACGTCACACGAAATGCCTTTTTCTGTGGTTGACGTCACATTGCTTTATATCAAAGACCAAATTGGAGTTTGAATGTGCCATTACGTACATTTTAAAAGAAAATGTCTGACAAAAATTGAAAAGGTTATTTAGATAGTAAATAGAAAATGGTGTAAAAAGTGAAATATCGGAATCATCATACTCATAAGAAATTGACTCATCTAGATAAAAATCGCATGCACTGTCGACAGAAATGGGTACATGGGACTACACTCACAATACATATTATTTGTTCAACACCTGTTGGCTATTTCCTGTCTTTTTGTTCTTTTTATGAGGGCATTTATTGAGCAATCCTTTTCAAGATAAACTTCTTTTTTACTCTCTGATATCATGGAATGAGAATGTTCACTAATTATCATTCCCTTTACCAGAGCATGAATTCATTAATACGTATTTGACAGATATTTTTGTCAGAACTCTGATTCAGTACCGTAACAAACAGCTGCGCCTGGTTGGCGCCCGTTAGAAGAACAAGTAGTTGTATACTGGTTGCAGGCTCCGATGGTTTGTTCAACTGAGAAATAACAAGAACAAGAAGAACAACGATAATACTATATCAATATTAATTTATTAAAAAAATGATAATAATGATAGGCCTACTGTAGTAATGATAATGATAATAATTAATAATAATGATAACTATACAATAATGATAATAATAGGAGTAATAGTAATTATTATTATTGATATCTCTATTATTGTTATCGTTATATCATTATTATTATAATTATCATTATTATCATTATTACTATTAATATAATTATCGTTATTATTTTCATGATCATCGTCATAATCCTCATCATCATCATCATCATCGGTAGGACTAGGTTGAGTAAAGTTCACGGGGTGCTCACAAGTTTTGCCCCCCCCCCCCAAAAGAAAATAAAAAATAAAATAAATAAATGAATACAAAAATAATAATAATAATAATAAATAAAATAAAATAATAATAATGATAATAATAATAAATAAATAAATAAAAATAAAAAAGAAAATAATAATAATAATATAAAAAAAATGATAATAATAATAATAATAATTATATTAATAATATTAATAATAATAATAATGTTCGTGCCAGAAAAAAACATGTTGAAAGTTGTGTCACGCATTTCCAGCACTGGCCTGGACCCCCAGAATCGTCCGGTATGCTGGAGTTAATACTTCCCCAATTGACAGGCAAGATGAGCAAACCATATTGAAACCAAAATACGTGCAAGTGGATATGGGGCAAAATATAATCAGTAAACTCTCCATGGTCATCAAATTTGAGATGATGATTATAAGTGATATAAGAACTAGTACAATACAGGTCTAACTAATAAATCACCTCCCGCGCAATTGAAGCCTGTCGTTAGAGGCTCGTTTCCAATTCCAAATGGTGAGTTTCGGATGTTCCTGTTCGCTCCACTTAAGCCTAGCTGCCTACAGATCACCTTCACTACATTGATATCCAAGTTTACTCCACAAACTGAGTGCCAGGAGAGTCCATTATCTCCAGAGTATTGGACAGTGCCTTCATACTGCGAGGATCCGTTTATCAATCGCACCTCTGTACACGACGAAATATCACATTATATTCATTATAAGTAATCGTAGTCATGGATTAGAACAGGGCCAACGCTGGTGGAGCGGTGCCTCGCAAATACATTACACACACGTAATATGCACCCTCTCTTCTTATTTATAACCCATTTACTCAATCTAAATCGGGCAATTGTTTACTTAAAATGCGATTTATCCTGCAAATGATATCCTGTAAATCCTGGAATCCGACGATATAGAGGTCGGTTTGGACTTTAGATTTGAACATAATAATGGTCATTGTCATTTTGTTACAATGAGTATTACACATAAAATTTAAGTCGTGGTTTCAGCTGCTGCAATTATTTATTGTTGAATACTGTGAGGTACTAAGTCATTAAAATGTCATTAAAATTATTTGTTATGATAACTCAGTCTTAATGGTCTTGCTGTTAAAGGTAAAGACCAGTTCTGGTCATGCCATTTCATTGTGAAAGACACGTTGTGGAATCGATCAGAAAAGGTTGATCATGTAGCATATAAGTATTGATGTGTACTGCAAGGTTCTGGAATCCTCAAAATGATAAGAAAGTGTGCCCAGTCTAGGTAAATTTACAAGCACTGTACACCGAAAGATGTATATGGGACTACGCGACACGTGCGCGATATCTATCCGGTCCGGATAGATATAATACTTTAAAAATATATATCAATTAGTAGGCGGTTTCTCGGCACAATTTGTATCATCTCGTATTAGTCAACACATATTCTTTTACATGATTAGTAATAAGAGCTTCCATTTCATTTTTTGAGAGGGGGCGTTTCCAAAACGGGTCTATACCTTTAAAGTCACATGGCACTGTACACAAAATGCATATATTACTGTGGCGTGAGATTTTATTCTTAACACTGATACTTCTTGTCATATTTCGACTAAAAGGAAATTAGAAATGTTTGAAGACCCATCCTTTTCAGGGTATATTTTTCTACAATATTCTCCGACATCAGCATGAGAAGATTCAAAGCTTATTATAAAAACTACTTTAAACTTTTCCATATAGCTCAACCTTGAAGTATCTTTGATAAATAAATTCTTGAAAACTAAAATAAATCTGTGTTTAGTTTGACTTACCAATCGTTTCAAGATCTGACTGATGTGCTGCTCGGCTGCAAAGTAAGAGGGCTGGTAGAATGTGGAAAAACACATGGTGCAAGTTCATCATCGAGATGTATTAAAAATTATTCTGACTACGAAAAATTGAGCTTCCAAGTGATATTTTCCGTCCTTTACACGCTTAGGTAACTTTCGTAGGCCTAATCAACCCTCGGCGTTAATCTGTTTCGCTGAAGTATGTTGTGTTTGTCTAATAAATTCTACATTTCATGTACTGCAAAAAGCATTCACACGCGTAAAACCCACGCTGTCTTTCAAAACTAATAGCTATTCCTGATTATTTAATATCATGAGAAGAACAAAATTTATCGACCTTTCTCTGGTGCATAATGACAATGAGTAATATGTATTCTAATAATTATGAAACAATATGCAACGCGGGCATGAAAGGCAACTCTTTCAGGTATCCTGACTTCCTCGAGATGAAATTAGTTCCTTGTTTAAAGAGGCGTAATAGAGACTCTCATGTATAATTCGACACCAATTGAGTGTTTACAAAAACTGATCAAGTGTTGTCAATCACCTGGATTATGCCTTATGCAACGTTATGCATTTTCTACCAATTGCCCTATATGATAAAAAACTTACTTACAACTTCCTCACTCGAGGGACTACGGGTTTGCTGTGTGTAATTTTTGTACACCCAGTAATGGTATTTCCAACAACTCTGGTGTCAGCGAATTATCACCTCTTGCAAGTCGAAATTGACTACTATCTCCCTTTAAACGCCTTACGAATAGATGATTGTTAATTTTTTTTCAATTGCGGTTCATAGAGCTACTTCCTCTAGCTTCGGAAACGAAATGGCTTCAAAGAGAAACATTTCATTTCTAA